CCTCAGTTTTCCGCCCACCTCACCATCGCACTTCCATCAATGTTTATGCCGCTGACAACAAAAGAAATTAAATTGCCAACACTGAAATTCAATTGTATCTTTCCCATTGGTCCTCACTCAAAATTCCTCAAAAGCTGCCGTAGCCGAGGAAAGCGGAAAAGTGCGGGGAATGACGACATCTTGAATGGTTATTGCCGCTGACTTATTGGAACATTGATTTTTCCTTTTGTTGGGGCCTCAATTGAAGGAAGTAAACATTTTCAGCGCTTTCAATTTATTAAAAGGCGCGTGAGGCAGCCATAAAAAGGTCAATGATTATTATGCCTCCCATGCAAAATGGCAGACAATGTCCAAAAATAGTCGGTGTCCGGGTAAACAAGTCCATAGTACACTGAGAAAAATATAATCAGAAATCAAACGTAAAAATTGGATTTTTAATGTGTTTTTATTTACAAATTATCATCGGTATGATAAAACAAATTTTATCCTTGAACATTCATGTTTATATGCTAAAGATAAGATATATATATTTAATAGAATTAGAAACAATTACAACGCACTGTAAATGTAAAACTTAAACATTTGTTTTATTAACTTCTTTTATATTTTCTTTCCGTGTTCCAATTTGTTTGATTCGGTTTTGAAGAGGTTCGGCTGTGGGGGAGACCCTTGGTTGATGGAATTCTTGTGGTGCTTCATGGCGATGAAAAGGAAGCCCGACTAAATAGACTGGTTCTTCTTGATAGTTCAGTTCGCTACGGCATTAATATGTAAATTTAATTCGCAGTCAGGCATTGTGCGCCGCTCTTCCTGGCCATAAATCAACATTTAACACAACCTGAACATCCGCCGCTGTTTGCCCAACATTTTCAATTTTTTAACCATTTTCATTTCCAGTTACTCCAGCCCGCTTACCATTTTCCATTAAAGCCTACTTTGTAGCGTTTTAACTGCAATTAAACCCATTAAAACTGTGCATAATTAAAAAATGTTGCCCTCCTTATGACACATTAACATATTTGCATATAGCCATTATTGCCATAACTCCCGCTTTTCCGCTTTGATCCCTGATGGTTAATTTATTTATTGAGGCAAACAACAAAGGCGGATGGAAGATCCATGTGCGGCCAACATGTGCACAATTGGGCCGAAATGTGGACTGATGGACGGAACAATTCACATTTGCATTCCGCCTGCGATTGTTCAATTGTCCAACTGCCGTCTAATTCGGATTCAGATTCGGTTTTGCAAACAAGCGATGCAGCTGCAGTTGCATTCGATTACGGCCAGCGTATAATTGTGCAACGCTAATCATAGTGATATCGCTCTTTCGCCCGCCAGGCGAATCGATTAACGTTCCAAGGATGTATTTCCAGATACATTTGTGTCTGCGGGGAGCATTCTGAATTACATGTTACGGCCATTACTATTACATTGGCCAACCATCTGCGACTGCATGGGCACAGGCTATTGGGTGTTCAACGAAAAGCGTCCTCCGTTCCGTGCAAATTAAACTGCATTAGAAGCCCCTTTTAATTGACACCAAGGTAACGCATAAATTTCAATTGCAAGACTTCGTGTGTGACAAAGATACTGATGAATTGCCACAGAGGCTGAACACATTCGGCAGCAACAGGAAATTGTCAGAGTTCTACGACGGGAAAAATACTAAGAGCACTGAAATCAAAATGTAAAGTTGTTAAACAAAAAAATTTCCTCCAATATTAGTATAATTTATTTTCTGCTAATATAGTACTTCATAATAATTTCGGAACTAAAAACTTAAGTTAAGTTTCAAAAATAATGCTTCATATTAGTATATACAAAAATAAAAGAAAAAAATTTAAGGTCCAGGCTAAAATCTATCATACTTATTCCTAGGTAATATTTTTCGGCTCTAGAAATGTTTAACACCTACTTCCGTATTATTTTTACGATTGACCAACTTTTTTTTAAGTGCATCTCGCAAGTTGGCATGTGTGAGAGAATTATTATCTTGTACTTGCCCATGTCAAAGAAAATTTGCATTTTTCGGTCTGACAAAGGGCGGCGCTCCGGAGGACGACAGCCGTGTAGACAGGACTCTCTGTGGTGCGGTGTCAACGTGTGCTAGCAGTGGCAATACCTATACCAAATTGTCTGCCACAATGGACTGACAAGGTGCTAGAATGCATGTGTGTGACTGTTTTAAACAGAGCAACAATGTGCAATGGCAATGAGATGAGACCTGCCAGCAAATGTGACACAGATACGAGCTGAAACTTTCAAATGTACAGACAAAACCATTAAGGGCTCATGAGTGGGGTGCTTGTGGCCTTCGCCAAGGACCCAATACTGTGCGATCTCCCTGCCTTTTTAATTAAAGCTGTTTCCTTTGAACTAGAAATGTGGCAGTCTTTGTTGACAAGATACAAAAATTGCTTGCCAAGAATTTTGTTATGTGAAAATGTATCAGTAATTCCAAATTACAATTAAGATTTCGATTGTAAAATATTCAAAGTTAGGAAGGTCCCTTAAATTAATTTAAATTACTGACTTTTATAGAAGGAACCAATGGAATAATCATTAATCTTTTAATCCCAATAGCTTTTTATATTTTCAAACGTTCTGTTAATCCCAAGTTGCACCTTTCCCTGGCAATTAACTAGATTAATTCTTTAATCGCTTCTCCCTATGGATAATTTAGACATGTTAGAGTGGACGACCTTGAATACGCCGTAAATGCCGAGTACTCGAACCGTTTATAGCCCGCTGTAGAGGCAACATAACAATATAATACACACCCATATGGTTCAGGGGACTCTACTTCCTTCACCGCCCCAATATCCTGCCCATCTGCCAACCCGCCCATTTAATTGTGCGGTTTCTCAGCCATTTTTATGTGTTTTAATTTTCATTGGAGCACTAAAAACTTGTCAGCGTCGTCAATGTCAGCGTGTTCCCATTTCAGGGGGAGAAATTGGGACCGAGGGGAGCAGCGACAACAACACGATCTTGAGGAGGCCAATAAACACTTTTATAAAATTCTCAAATCGCACGTGTTGCGTTTGTCAAGGGGTTGCCGTGAAAGTGGAAGTAGAAGTAGAAGTGGAAGTCGCCCCGACATGGAGACATACAATACAATAAAACTGCTAAGTGCATGGGCATGTTGTTGTGGCATATAGCTCCGCATAGCTCTATTCGGGCCCTACTCTTCCATATATATGCATTAATCGAGGTGTGCTGCATGCCGGCCATAAAAACCAAGTGGCGAGTAGGTGCACACTCAAAAAAAATTAATTTTTATTTTTATTTTTTTTTTTTTTTTTTTTTTTTTTTTTTTTTTTTTAATATAATTTTTTTTTTTTTTTTTTTTTATTTTTTTATAATTTTTTATTTTTTTTTTTTTTTTTTTTTTTAAAAAAAAAAAATATATTTTTTTTTTTTTTTTTTTTTTTTAATAATTTCCTTTTTTAAATAATAGGAATTACCTGACTGAAATAACACCCTATTACTGTTGGGCAAATTTTTTTCCTTGCACAATTAAGGATAGAAAAAGGCTTAAACTAAAAGGTTTTACCTAATAGGAGAACATCATACAAATATTTTTTGAATAGTGTGTTCTTTATTTTCTATTAGAATAAAAATCTTTACACAGAAATCTAGTATAAATGTACCTTTAGGGTAGAAAAGTAAAGTTTAAGTTTTGTAACACGGTGTTATTATTCAATTTATTTAAATTATTTTTTTTCGATTTATTTTCTTTTGAGTAGATAGTTTTAACTCTTTTTTTTAAGTGTTCACTAGAAGTTGGAATGGAAATGGAGGCAGCATCGATAAGCTGCCAGAAACTGTGCAGCGCGTGTGCCACATAAAAATGGCATTTTGACATGGCCACCGGGTGGATAAAGGCAGGGGGCAAAAGGGGTCGGCTAATGAGCATTATGAATGCTTGCCATGATGTCATTGCACTTGAGTGGATCTAGTTGTGTTTTCCTTTATGCAGGGGCAACCTTCACACCCCACCCATTGCCAACTCCCCCCAAAGTCTTACAAAACACCGAGCAATGGAAGGCGGAGAATTTGTTGCATGGGGGGTGGCGAAAAGTAATTGCAACTTAAATAAACAAAACGCCGGAGCAGCGACCGCAGGGCGGAGGGCAAACAGTAGCAGTAACGGGTTAAGTGGCCGCATCCTCCAGTCGCCCTGAAAGGGTTAAGCTCACATTTATTGTGCACATGAGGCTGAAGGGCCTGCCACTTGTGCACAGCCTCATTAGCAGGAACAAAAAACACAACTCACAAAGAACTCACTTTGTTCTCGTTAAATTAAACTCAGCTTTTTGGTTTGTTTGCATTTCGGGTTTTGTTTTAGATGATTTGTTATTGTTTATCATTTTTATATTGGCTTTGCCTGTGCACAGTAAGAAAAATCCATACAAAATTAAATTGACCTATGGTAGGTCCTAAATAAATTTATATTTATTGGTAATTTAATGGATCAATCAAATATTAAAAACATTTTAAGATATATATTTGATTATAAAATTTGAAAAATATCAGTTTCATTAGTCAAATTGTTGTTGAGTAAATAAAATCGAGATTAAAATTGAATTGATAGAGATTAAAATAAAAACATTTGTTATTTACTATTTGTTTTCCCTGGAAAATTTTGATGTTTCGCTAGCTGCCACCGGCAACATGTTGCTGCGGTTCCAGCAACATGCTGCCTCCGGCCTTCCAGCGTGCTAATTTTGGAAATGCTAACGCTGCGCCGCAGCCGGCTACGACACACCACGTCTTCATGTCTTTTGGGGTGTTTTCTGGGGGACCGTCCTGATAACTCCTCAGTCGACTGTCAACTTGTCGTAGGCGCGGATTGTCGCTCCCGTGAAATCTTAGGGATTCGGTTCGGTTTTCGCTTTGTTTACATACCAAATACTTGCGGTCGTGGGAGAAACGGCTGCTCTATTTAATTACACAATAACTAAAGTTTGTTTGTTGTTCATTCCGCTTTGCAGAGCACTTCCGGGGAATTAAACAGCTGGACACAAGGGCCATTTATGAGTGCGCGAAGTGAAGTAGCGGCCAGATACCAAATGGATGCCGTCTAAAATCAAAGAAACACAAATCTAGACCAGAGGAAAAACATCGTGGACGATCCACAATTAACGGGCGGAAATCGAAATGTATAAACAATCAGCAAAATGTGCAAATTCGTGGAGTGCCAATCGAAAGCAAGCTTGAGTGAAAGTGAAAAACTTCGGCGCGCGCAAATAATTAATTATCCGCCTGCTTATTAGCGCAATTTATCCAAAGCAGCGCAGACATTCTGTTTATGGGCAAATTTACCAAACGCAAATAAAACCAAACTGCTGCCAGTCGTGCATTAATAATTTGCAAAACTCCGTCCCATCCCCAATCCCTCACTCCCCCAAAAAATCACACAGAACAGACAGTGCGGCTTGTGGCGTTGAAGTGTTTATTAAATTGTCTTCGCCGCAAATGCAAGACATTTGCTCGACAAGCGGAGTAATAGTACTTGGCCATTGAAATGCTGGAGCTGCAAGTTTGCGGAGATTTGTCAGACGGCGACTTGAGCGAAATCCACAAAATGGGACACCAAAGGGCCACGGACACGGGACATCGGCAGAGTCGGAGAAAATCAGACTACCGGACTTTCCCCACCAGATTCCTGCTTCTGCTCCTCGCCGTTCTTCTATTGAGCATGGGTGAGTCCAGAATTTGTTTAGACTACTTATAATGCCAATGATAATGTTTACCAATCGGAACACATCAAAGACCCGAGTTGAACAGCTATCAAATAAGTATTGCTTCATCACGAAAAGAGCTTTACAAATTGTGTCAGCAGATATATAGATATTATTTGGAATATATTTTATAAATAAATTTTAAACATAACTGCTTTCATTAAGTATAATCAAAAAGCTGCAAAAGGTATGAAAAGTCTTCAATAAACGTTTTTTCATCTCATTTATATATTCATAAGTTATTTAAAAATTTTAGACACGCATATTCTCCAAATGTTTTCAATAAATCTTAGGACAACATCTTCACAGCATCCTAACTATTTTCCGAACTAACAAATTCGAGGCCATTGAAGCGCACTTTAGGAGTTTCATTTGTTCAATTTAATGAAGTATTTGTCGGACTTCCCAGTCAGCCCCCCTCTCCCCGGGCTGTCATCCCTTTTCAAGTGGTATCTCAGCATCTGGAAGGCAGGAACAGTGTCAACCACACTCGAACCCTAACTCAATTGACTGCCCCACTTTCTTTTTTTGCCAAGTTCGACGCTGCGGCTGCTCAATTAAGTGCTCCGCATGTGACTCTAACTCCGAATGTGTTGCCCAATGTCACTTTGGTTCGAAATTAAAAGAGTACCGAAAACACATACTCTAGCATAGATATACACAAAACAAATTCAATACTACATATTTGGTATTTTAATATATTTATTGACCAATGTATATTCTAAAGAACAAACACTAGAATCATTTTTTTTGTTATTTTAGTCGATCGTATATTTTATTTATATATTTTTTATATTTTACTTTACATTAATTAGTGGTTTTCGCAACTAAAAGTGCTCATGTTTGTCAAGTGTTATGCTTTCCGGAGTGTTTGTTTTCTCAGTGCAGATACAAACAATCGATACTTGAAATGACATTCGAAACAACACTTTGGCATAATAAAATACAAATAAAAGGGGCAGATACACAGCCGGCAATTGATTGACGAAGTGGCAAAGATCTGGCGAGTGGGAAGTGGAGAGTGCTGGGCAATAAAAGGGATTGACAGGCAGTACGAGTCGCGTTCTAAGCGGTGTCGAGGTGTCGCCCTGCCACACAAAAAGGGGTTCGGTCCGGGATGAGGTGGCCAGGGATCCACTCGACTGGCTGTCAATGACAATCAGCAGAGGAATCAGATCCCGCACACACACTCCACTTTCGAGCGGCGCTAATGCTGATGCTGAATGCTTGTAAAAAGTTTTTAATGACCCTGGATGCCGTGTCGCCATGGCCACAAAACTGAACAATTTGGCGCCCGGAATCGAACCGAACGGAATGGAATAGAATCGAATTGAGGGGCAATCCGCACTTGCCAAAGCAAATCTGTGTCAGGCTGTTGCTCCATTACTTCGCTGCTAATGAACAGCTTAAGCAGCGCATTTCAATAGGGACATTGCCTCGATTGCAGCCAGTGCAACCGTTTTAGGTTTTAAAAGTCAACTGCATATAAAAAAGTGCTCGAGAATAGCTAAAAAATGTATAATAAATTTGGGCTTAATATTAAATGTTCTTAGGAATATATTACAATACTTGAAAGTGATCTTTATATATATTATGCACTATAATTCAGTAATCACTGGCATATTTGATAGTCATAGCCTTACAAATTTATGAGCAAAAATAAAATATTTTTAATTTATACAATTTTTCGTATATATTATGATCTGAATTTTAAGGCAAAATGTTAATGAAAAACCACTTTATTGTGAACAGTAGCAAAATGTTTCCCCTCCATTTTTTTCAATTTGGAAATAGGGTCTAAAATTACTCATCTCCAATTCGAGAGCATATATCGGCATTTGCTGAATAGGGGGTGAGAATTTTATGGGAGTCGGAACAGGGATTTAAGCCCCGCGACTCGGCATTCTATGAAGTACGAGGCCATAGGTATTTTTCACTCCAAATGCAGTGTTCTTCTGTTAACGAAATTGTCAAGTTTGGCGGGGAAGTGCATCAGCATCAGCAGAACGAAAATCTGAGGCACCAGCCTCTATTAAATGGAGGCTGCGGCGCTAATGGATAGGGTTAATGGGTTGGAGTTGGCGGTAAAGTGGTGTATTAGTAAGAGTGAATTAGAGCCCTAAACGGGCATCTATTGTTCTGATGTACGACGGACTGCAGGCCATAACCATTCCCTAAAGAAGTGCGGCTATAAATCAGTGCATTGAAAGCTGTGCGGATTAGTAATAAATTTTATTTGATTTTTCCGGGGACCGGGAACGGGTTTGGGCTTTCATGGTTCGCCGACTGTGTAAACTCGATTCCACCAATTTATGTTCCACCGAAAGTGCATAATAATCAGGAACAAAAAATACCATAAATCCCATAAGCACGCTGCTGGCATCATACCGATGGACATTTGTAATCAATTTCGCCATTTGCTCACTAATAACAAAATGCAATCCAAATATAATTTCAGCTCAGTTGAATGCATCAAATGAAAATACAACAATTTACTGGATAAATCGATTCGCTGACAATGGAAATTAAAATTTTTGTGGACTATAAAATACCTAATAAGATATAAATTTCATGATAATAACAGGAGATAAAATAATATATACAGTATCGATATAAAAATTAAAGCACAATACCTTTTAAACAAAACAAAATATGTTGACAACTTTGCATAAACCTTAAAAAGTTAATTTCTGAAAATTTTTAAAAACCAAACGAATTTTCAAAAATAATAATCTACAGTTTTATCTCTATTAGTATTTGAAACGATTTCAACTATTTATACCATTGAATATTTGGAGAGTTTTTGTAGTGTTCAAGCAGATTGTATTACCACATCGAAAAACTCCCCACAAATGCACCAATTTTATCATTGAAATATTAATTGCAAAATAATATTGACAGGCAGCAAACAAATTACAAATAAAATATGTAAATTTCCCGCGGTTCCGCGCTTGTGAAAATGTCAGTGGCATAAGAGTGGGCGTGGCTGGTTCAAAATTTGCGGCCACCAAGCAAATTTTGCTAGTCACGCAAAAATTGCCAAAAGGTAAATCGAATCGCGGGGTTTTTGGTTTTGCAGGGCAGTTCTAAGCCTGCCGCGTCGTGTTTGTATATTATTAATGCAATTTGTAATTATTTGTTTCGGTTGCGTGCCTGCTAACATGCCAGCACAGTATGCATATACGCATTCCCATTCCGATTTCGTCTGTTTTGGCCCGCTTGTTTATTTGTTTGCTTGCCACAGCTATAAAACGCAATTATCGCGCACAAAGAACAAAGCAGAGTGCAGGAAAAGTGCACCTCTTACTATGTCCCCACGATCCCCAAACCCTAAAATATAGCCCCAAAAAACCAGAGTGTCGGAGGGAGTTTTCGAAAAGCTGCAAAAGTTGTCGCCACCATCAGAGAATTTCGCATTTTCGCATTTGCGTTGCCATAATTAACTTATTTTGTACATTAGCAACAGATTTTGTTTATTAACGCATGTGCGCTTGCCTTCGGTAATGCGATACCATTCACCCACCCCCCGAGGCTTTAATGTCCTAAGGACTGGGTCCAGGGACCACGGGGCGTATACTTATCTTTTGGCATTGCGAAGTGAGTTTATTTGTTTTCTGCTTGTGGTTCTTGGGGTGGTGCTAGGTGGCTTGGCATTTTCTGCGGCTGCTGTCGCATAATTTATTTATCATTAGCAAAATTTGGCAAGCATTGGAATGCTTTTCCCCCATTTCCCCCGATCCATGGCAAGACTTGGCTGTTGTGTCTGTGTATTTGGCTAAATAGTTGAAATAATTAGGCCCATTAGAAGTTTTGTAGGTCCCTGGTTGCGCAGCATTGCCTTGATTGACAAGTGCAAATTGGTATTAATGTAGAAGTTTGGGAAACTTCAAAAGGGGAGAGCTTTGAACAGAGTCTGATGCGATTATTACAAATTAAATTGGAGTATTTTAGTAAATTACGAAATTTTAAATAGAAGAACTTGTTTTTCAAATAAAAGCAAAACTGCTCACATTTGTACCATTATTCTTAATTATTTATGTTTATTATTCCAAGTACAAGCTAAAATATTTGAATTCACTTGTCCGAATTTATCTGCCAATTTCTGCCAACTCAGGCAAAATGAAATTTGCCGATATTTAAACTCCATCTGGCAATAGTTCACGTTTAATTAAGCAACGTTGCCAAAAAATAACTGGAACAAATCACGGCGACAAAATCGCAAATGGTACACCCAAAAATACCACAGTTTTGTTTCAGTTTGTTTGGCTTATTCTATTTTCCTTTCAGTTTTCTAGGTATTTCTGGCAGGGCCACTCCCCCAAATAACAAAAACTTGTTGTTTGCAGGGTCCAAGTGGAAACTGTGTGTGCGAAATGCAACAGCCGCAACAAAAACGACATAAACTTTTAACAATTGCAAAACCAAATAAACAAAACGTAGGGTAAAACAAAGGGAAAACACTAAAAACTGCTGCAGGCTATAAATCTGCAATGGGCGTTGAGGAGGTGGGCGGGGTCCTCGTGGGCCGGTGGGTGGTGGGCGGTTTCTGGCCGTCGGGTCCTTTGCACAGACCCATTCACACATAAAAAGCAAACACTCACACATTACGGAGAATGCGCCTGCTGCGTAAATAACTAATAAGGCTCGGGGATAAATTTCAAGTGCAATTTTGTGAGCATCGTAACCAAATACAACTCGAAACAAAACAAAAACCCACGGCCGCCGGCTGGCGGGAAAACTCTCACACAAAAGTTAAACGTACTGGCTGCGTGCACTGAACAAAAAAGATAGAAAGTCCAGGGAATTTTCACCAAAAATTAATTTTTTTTAATTTTATACGAATACATTATCTTCCTTAAATATATTGAATTGCTTTTAAAATGTATTTGTAATTTGTTGATTGTCGCAATATTCCAACAATATGTTTGTACTCTTAAATCAAGAGCTTGGTATAGTTATTT